AAAAGTCATTACTGTAGATGACAGACCCTGGACGGCAGAGGCGCTGTTGAGCACAAAAATCTTCCAGTGGAAGAGTCCTCCGCTGACAAAACTGGGCCCTGCAGACATGTGCAGGGAGCATGCGGTGGGAAGTAACGTGCTAAAGCACACAACCACGTTCACCGCCCACTGTCTCGGCCACCCAAGAGCCGGCAGGAACAGAACCAAGAGAGCGGCTCGGTGAGGCCTCTCGCTCACTCCCGTTTCCTGCCAGAACTGCGCGTCCTCAGGCACATGAAGCCTGGCTCTGCCGAGATGTAAGCCTACGCTACACTCTACGCTATTTGTTTTTCTTATAGAAACACACAGAGAAAGTACACGGTGATAGTAAGCTTAACCAATTAAAAATATAATGTACATGTAGCAACTTGTTTGGTAAGTTCTATGTAATACTCACAATATATATCTTAATACTGACAATTTTAAAAATTAAAATACAATAAATTGCTGCAGAGACAGTTCAGCAGCTTAAGCACCTGCCTGGCAAGCACAAGTCCCCAGTGCAAAACAGATAGATACATAAATAAATAAATAAATCTTGTAAAGTCCCCAGTGCAAACTAGATTACATAAATAAATAAATAAATCTTGTAAATTAGTTCACAAAGTGAAGTACACAAGTGTGTGTTTTAGGGTAATACAGTACAAAGATACATTTGTTTTTTTCAAAGTCGAATTTGCTGATTCCTTTGAAAACTGTGTCTTTTGGCAGAGTGTTTTAAGAGTCTATCACATAGTTAAGGCCGGCTTTGAGCTCGCAGCGACCCTTGAGCTTCAGCCTTCCCAGTGCTGGGATTACAGGAACAGACACAATGCCCAACTTCTTTTGAAATTCTTTTTTTTTTTTTTTTTTTTATTGATAAACATATAGCAATGAGACAGTTTCAAATCAAATCGGAAGTACAGTTTTTGGCGGAACCAGGGATTGAACTCAGATCCTTGAGTTTGCCAGCCAAGCACTTATCTTACTGAGCCATCTCCCCGGCCCCTCTTTTGAAATTCTGATGTATTATGTCAACCCATCATTAAGGAAAGAGGAAGCAAGAGGAAGGAAAAGATAGGAAGAAACAGAGAATGTATCCATACTTTTTCTAACATAATTTTCAGTAATATGCCAGAAATTATAGTGATGGTTCCTGTAAAGGTAAAAACTTTTTAAGAAACTCAGTCTACTGGTTTTGGAAACCTTAGGTTTCCCCTTAGTTAAATTACACCAACAAAATCCACTGTGCTTCCTCCTCTTCCATCCCGCATATTCCTTTTATCCCTTTTTCTTTTTTTCTCTCACTCTCACTCCCTCTAACTCCTTTTCTCTTTACACTCACATACAAATACATAATATATTTAATTTAATGTAATTAAAGATAATAAGGTAATTTTAAACAGGACTATCTAGAGAAATGGTAGAAATAGTGGGAAAAAATGGAGTTAAATAATGGAGTTGAATAAACAAAGAACTATACTTATTAGCCATTCCCCAAACCACTAGCATTCCAGATAAACAAACTGTGTCAGATCTAGATAGGCTGTGGTTCTAAAGTCTCAGCAAGGGCTGGCGAGATAGCTCAGCAAACTAAGCGCCTGCTTAGGCTTGCGCAGGGACCGGGGTCCAATCCCCAGCAACACATGCCTCACCTTGCCGGCCCCGCCATCATGCTCGCTGGCAGCCACCAAGACCAGGTATGGTGGTGCATGCCTGTAATCCCAGTACTGGGGCAGCTGAAAAGAGGCACATCACTATGAGTCTGAGCTGCATAGTGTGACCCTGTACCAAATACATAATATAAATAAATAAATACATAAATAAATCTCAGCAAGTTTACTTTCTCCATGATATTGTAAGGAGCAGTGAAGGAAGAAAACAATCCCATTATGAAAGTCCACTGAGCAAAAGCACAATTCTTAATATTTACAATGGTTTCATATTCCATTGTCCCTTTCTACACACACCAATTTGGATAAAAGCATCTCAGTGATTAAAATTGCTCCCAGTGTATCTCCTAAGTCCTCAGGTAGAAGGACTGAACACCAGGCGGAGCCAGGATGCACTGCAACACACAGTCAGGCTCTGGTTTCAGATTGTGACTCACACAACCCAAAATTCGGAGTCTTATTTTAGCCTACTATAGTAGAGTTCAAGGGTGGTCGTATAAATTATGATTCAGAACTGCCCAGAAATTCTTTATAACCTCATCTTTGATATCAGTTTTTTAAAAAAATCTGATTTCACCAGACTTTTTTGAAATAAAGTTAACCTGGGGTAACTGCAGGCTAAATTAAACCCCTAAAGTCTGGCCTATCATAAACTATTTCAGAAACCCACTGAATCGTGTGTGTGTGTGTGTGTGTGTGTGTGTGTGTTTTACGAAGGGTCTACAGGGTGTTCAGGGTCTCAGTACTAGATCAGACTCATTACCCACTGAATCCTGATCAGTTCTGAGTAATAAAAGTTGTTGAAGGAGAGAAAAAAACAGCTGTGTGCCTCTTTTAGAAAATGTACTGAATAATGCATGTGTAGTATCTGAAAAAGCACATTACAAAAGTTATACTTTATCACAAAAGCAAAGATTTACTCTAGACTAAATCCAAATATGAAATCTATTTTAATCAAACGATATATGGTAAAGCTATAATCTTTCCAGTGCCAACAAAACTTTTACAACTATGCAGCTAGCTCAATTACTATAAAACTCTTGGGGAAGAGGTCCATTGTACAAGTTTCTTTTTAAAAGACTTGTTTAAAAGTAAGCTCTAAGGGGGGGCTGCCGTTAGCTCTGTTGTTTAAGCACCTGCTTATGGGAACGCAGTCAGGAGCAGGATACCTAGGTTAGATCCTCATCTCTGTACTGAATCCATTCTCATTACAAATGATTTGTGACATACGAAATTACGACTATCTAGAAATACTATAGTCTTACATCATTCTACTATAGCCAAAGAATATTACTGAATATAACACCGAAAAGACATTATTATAATAAAAATTACCCCAACCCAGGAAAAATTTTACTCTCCAATGGAATTCAACTGAAATTACAAATAATAGAACCAAGAAAAGAAACAACTATCCATTAGGACATAGCCCACCTTTCTTCTTGACTGGCATTCTTGGCTCTTTCCTTGGCCACAGGACACAAAACCTCTTGGCTCTCACTGGATCCAGCTGGATGGAGGCCACAAGCTAGGTAACTGTTGCAAACTACTTCACTGTTCAGTTTTTAAATCCCGGTTGAGTCTTCTCTGGTAGATAAGGAAAATAACGATATATGCTTTTCCCAACTAAACTTTGTATTGCCCACAGAGTATAGACAAAGATGACTTTTGGGGGTTTTTTCAAGTTTTTCGATTTTTTTTAAAAAAGATGAGAAAATTATTGTATGCATAGAAAAACGTTATTAAAACTCTTCAGGCAGCAACATTTTTGGAAGCCCAATCAAAGTGTAACTCAAGGCACACACTGAATTTAGATAGCTGCCTCACGATTATATACATGATCAAATCCAGTGACAAACTGGTTGATGACAAAAATCCTCAATTATTAGAGTTAATTAACTCCCCCCTTCAAAAATTACTTTCAAAAGTCTCTCTGACTCTGGTCTTTAAAGAGGTGCAGAAGTTGGAACAGTGTTGTGGGTGGAACACAAGACTCAAAGGCCCCTTTCTATTTCATGAGCCACAAGTTCCGGTCTCACCCCTCAGAAAGACAGGATCCAGCTTGCTGTCACTTTCATTTTTTTCTTCCGCGCTTTCCAAGCCCAAAAGGCTTGATCCTTAATGCCCCTCTGATTCTGATCCTCCCGTGTATTAACCAAGAGGATTGAAAAGGAAAGCAATCCCTTGGCGTGGAGACATTAAAGGGACAGCGCTACTCAACGGGCACTTGATGCAGGATGAGTCGGCGACGCCGATTTCTTCCCACCGGAGTCTTGCACACCACGCTATCTCTTCGCATCCAGCAGCTCGCTAGCCGAGAGGAAAAACACCGAGAGCACCCGCCGAGGGGAGAAGCCAAGCCTCTCCCTAAGGTGCCTTCAGATGCACGAGCTACGCAAACGCTCCGCGGCTGCCCACGAGTGCAGCCGTCTGGCTTCCACATCCACCCTTCTCTCAGCCCGTCTTCACACTGCCCAGCCGCCTTCCGCAGAAAGGACGAGGCATCCTCTGCCACCGCCGGCCACCCTGCCCACACCCCGCTCGCGGGGAGAAGAGCGCAGAGCGTCCTGCACCCTCCGCGCGGCGAAGTCTCCTCAGGCAGGAGGAACAGCAGCACTAGACATTATATAACCCGCGAGGTGGCTGCCGTAAGACGCGGCGCGGGAGGGTCGGCCGCCGGCCGGGGAGGCACCGCGGGCGCCCAGCGGCACACGGCGC